TCAATGACATCTTGTAATATTTAGTCCTTGTTTTGCAACTTCATAATATTAGAATATTAAATCAACTGTTCCACCGTTCTATAGTAATACTTCATTAATGGCTGCTCTTTCTACTCTTTAGAAGAGGTAATGATCAAACAGTCACTGATAGGAAAGCTTCTTTATGAATTGAAGAGGTAGCGAGCATTTTAATCAAAAGTTTGTACTAAATTCCACGCATCACGAGCGAGATAATAGCTGTCTTTCGTCAAGCACAAGTGAACACCCTCAATATGGGAAACCATTCAAATCGACATCAAGGGCTGTGTTGTTCAAAGCCTAGAGTACTCCAAGTGGTTGACAATGAAAATAACTCTCATGGATTAACGCTAGTCGGGTTTTGAACAAACCAGCACAGAGATTATTAGGTTTAATAATGATTCATGCAATACCTAGATTTTAGAAAACTTTTCATTTTGGTTTCAGTCCTTCAAATTTTCAATTTTTGATCGTTGAAACTCTTTCCTATATTAATAAACAATATCTTTGTAAGAGTGAAAAAATATCTTCTAGAAAACGAGAAATGTTTAGTGATTAAGATTGCCAATGAATAATTTTCTATCAAGATAGATATACAGTTTATTAATCACCTTGCAGTCAAATAACTGAATTACGTGAAATATTTATATATCTATATTCATAGCTGATCCTATATCAAAGAGGCAAGATTTGCTGTTACTCCGAGTTTCGTGCTACGCACTCACAGGCAGTATTTATATTTATTATTTTATATTTATATTCATATTTATCAAAAGCCTTGACTATCAAATACACATCCAACATTGGACCTTTCACTATGGCGAGTAAAATAATAATGTAAATAAAATAATATTTATTATATATCTATTATAAGCCTTGATTACCAAATACATTATGTTTCTAGTTGGGACTAGATCAGATGGTTGCCATGCTCAATATTTGTTTGCTACATAATCAGCAGCGTATCACAAAAAAACACATCAAACAAAAATGCGATGTTCAAAATAATTAAAAAAATCACTCAATTTCAGCACACAATTTCAGATTAATAATATTCCGTCGGACGGTTAAATGGACGAAAGAGTTGTTGACGTATTCTTGGTATATTTTCCTTGACGACGGTCCTGCGCTATCAAAGAGCTTTCTTCATTCATTGTAATAACTATTCCATGAATAACCACCCACACTCGTCGTCGAGTAAATACATAGAGCAGTGGAATTTTCTCCCGCGGCGCAAATTTGAATTAAGAAAAAACAACACTCAATTTCAGC